TGCTCTGTTCTATCCTTCCTTAGAGCTCCAAGTCAATTTAATCAGTTTTCATATATGTGTAAGGATAAAGATAATTTGGAAATGTTTAGAGTCAGACATGGTGGCACACACCTGTACTCCCAGCAAAGGAGCCTGAGACAGGAAGATTGTCTGAGCTAATTAAAACGTTCAAGGTTAGTCTGAACTACATACCAATGCTCTATTTCAAAGACTCCACTAAATAAATAAATATTAAAAATAAAGGGAAGTTCTGCATATTATATGCTGTAACAATTATCATCATTCTACAGGGAGGGGAAGGGGGGAGATAGTCTCTCTGTAGGAGTAGTCTCCAAGTTTCCTGACTGTATAGACTGACTAATGAGTCCAGGCAGACTATTTTCGTGAAAAATATGGATTATTCTCATTAACTAAAGGCCATTTGTGTGCATATATAAGACAAATACTTACTGAATGTTCACTGCATACCAGATATGTTGAAGATGATGGAGTGAATAAAGAAGCATGCTTAACCAATGCAGCACAGAATCTTAAAAGTCAGTACACTTATAATGACCTCACTGAAGTTGTAATAGAGTATCCAGGAAAACATATGGAAAAAAGAGAAAGGAGAAATTATGTGAATTTAAGTATCTAAAACAAGGTAAGTTGTGGTTGATACATTGTGAACCCCAATAAACTTATCTGGGGGTCAGAGAACAGAACAGCCACTATATTAAACATAGAGGTTAGGCAGTGGTAGCACAAGTCTTTAATCCTAGCATTCTGGAGGCAGAGATCCATCCAGATCTCTGTGAGTTCAAGGCCACACTGGAAACAACCAGACATGGTGACACATGCCTTTAATCCCAGCACTTGAGATCTCATGTCTTGCTTGGGAAACACACCTTTAATCCCAGGAAGTGATAGTAGGAAACAGAAAAGTATATAAGACGTGAGGACCAGGAACTAGAGGTTTTTAAGCTTTTAGGCTTTAGCAGCAGCTCAGCTGAGATCCATTCCAGTGAGGACTCAGAGGCTTCCAGTTTGAGGAAACAGGATCAGCTGAGAAGTTGGCAAGGCGAGGTTAGCTGTGGCTTGTTCTGTCTCTCTGATCTTTTGAAATTCACCTCAATAGCTGGCACTGAGTTTTTTATTTAATAAGACCTTTTAAGATTTGTGTTACAGCAAATGTGGTGAAATTGATTGTTTTAATTAATGAATAATACTATCAACCTGCCTCATGGGGTTATTTTCAGCAATTTCCAAAAAACTAGAGAAAAAGACTTTAAAGTCTAGGAATAGGGGCTAGATTATATAGGAAAGACAGGTGAGTTTAAGACACAAAAAACAATGGACTAAATAATGCACTGCAGGAAATAAGCAGGTTAGAAAAGAAAGAAAATGTTAGCAACTCCAGTTAAAAGCAGTGTGTAGCATGAATCTTAAAAGTTCTTATTAATAAAATCAAACCTGGGGCCAGTTATTGGGGTGAAATGCTGGATGGTCAGAGAGACAGAACAAGCCACAGCTACCTCACCTCGCCGGATCCTCAGCTGGTCTTGTTTCCTCAGACTGGAGGCCTCTGAGTCCTCATCCAGAATGGGTCTCAGCTGAACTGTGTTGCTAGAAGCCTGAAAACTTAACCAACCAAATGCTTAACCAGGCCAAAATGCTTCTAGTTTCTGGTTCTCATGCCTCATATACCTTTCTGCTTTCTACCACCACTCCCTGGGATTAAAGACTCGCTTTCTGGGATTAAAGGCATGAGTCACCATGCTTGGCTGTATCCTTGAACACATGGATTTCTGCCTCTGGAATGCTAGGATTAAAGGCGTGTGCTACCACTGCCTATCCTCCATGTTTAATATGGTGGCTGCTCTGTCTCTGACCCCAGATAAGTTTATTAGCATGCACAATATTTGGGGGAATACAATACCACAGCAGTGTGTCACACATGAGCATCTGTAAGTCAGAGGACAATCCTCTTTCCACCATGTGGTTCCCAGGGATTGAATTCAGGTACTCAGGCTTGGTGTCAAGTACCATTCAGAGAACTACTGAACCATCTCACTGGCCCAAATTTGAAAACTTTTTGAGTGTGGTCTAATAAAGCAGCCACCACCAGAGACTCCTGTGAGCTTCTAATAGGGTATTGGACAAAACAAGAGAAATGACACATACACACCAGGTCTAACGTGACTCTGAAGGGACTCGATATGTTCACCGTGACTAAATATGCATGATTTCATTTCCCCTGCAGATTCTAGGATATATCCTCAGGTTTGTTTTTTAAATAAAAGCAGGTTTATGCATAGCTTCCACCCAACATATATGAGATGTGCATTGCATTGGTCAATTGTCATGCTGTTTCAGCTCACCAAGAAGCTGGTTCTGAAAGTGAGGTTGCCCCACTCCCATTTTTTTTCATAAGTATATTTGCCTCAAAGTATCCTCTAAGACCACTCTAACTCTGTGACAGGAAGAAAAGACAACAACAAAACACCTCAAGGGAAAAATAATGTACCCTTCAAGGAAGATTCTTGTAGGGTGGTATCGATGACTGTAGGCTCACAGTTGAGAAGGAGAGACACAGAAGGCTTCTGTGACAATCTCTCTACCTCATCCCACATCACCCCACCCCACAAAAGAAGCAGTAGACAGGCAATCATTGAAAAGAACTCTTAGTTCGAGGCCAGCCTGGGCTACCAAGTGAGTTCCAGGAAAGGCGCAAAGCTACACAAGAGAAACACTGTCTCGAAAAAAACCAAAAAAAAAAGAAAAGAACTCTTAAAAATTGTGTTAGTGATGCTGCAGTGTAGCTCTTCACAGTTGATGGCTTCCGGTGGGGGTAAGGTTGGGGAAGGATTTTAAGGGGGTGGCCACTGGAGGTTTGACCATGCTCCAGTGAGTGTACTGGCAACACAAATTGGACTTGATACTTTTTTTCCTCTTTTTTCTTCTTCTTCTATTGTTTTGGGGGAGGTCAGAAAGGTAGGGGATGGACCTGGGAGGACTAGAAAGTGAATGTGATCAGGGTGTATTATGTGAAATCTCCAAATAATCAATAAAAATATTATGTTAAAAATTTTAAATGTATTCTTGAGAACAGCTAGAAAGCATTTCCAACAGAGGTCGCTGCTGTTTGCCCCGTGGGATGGAAGTGGCTGTGGTGTGGAAGAGAAGCAGGATCAACCAGAGGAAGCTCCTCCATAGAGAAAAAGCTCAGCCAGAACTTCCCTGACTCCACTTCCCTAGTCAGTTTCAGTAAGATGTTTGCAAGCCCCAGATTTGCTGATGTTACCTTGCTGCTGTTTGTCCTTTTCCGAGAGGACATTTGCCTGAGAGGACATTCTATTATTCCCAGGACACTGTATCTGGAACTTCAGCTGACTGGTTCAGCCAGGATCCCTTGGTGAATTTCTGCTGGATATACTAAGCATCCAATTTGATGATGTCATGTCATCTGTCTATATGTCTACCTATCATTTGATTTTTTTTTTTGCTTTGGCTTGTTATATACTTAATAAATTCACTCATTGAAAGCCCAAAGCGTGACTAGCAGAGATCATTGTCCATACTACACAGAACACCATGCTAAGTCTTGTTTCATACAAAATAACAGGGCACAGAATATGATAACACAAAAATAGAACATCTAGAGCAGTTTGCTCCAAGAGTCATGAAAGTGAAGATGAATTGGAAATAAGTTAAGCATGAATCCATGTAAATAAGATGCAAAGTTTGAATATTATGAAGAAGAACATGTATACATGATCCTAGGACAATGGAATCATTGAAGAGTTTCAGAAAGATGAAAAGTGACAAACACATTGTGAATTGTGAAATGTTCACTCTGCTGTTTGTAGATGGAGCCAATTATGGGGCAAGGTGGCAACTTCTTCCAAAAGGACCTTGAAATATTTATGGAGAGATAGACAATAGGTTGGAGCATAGTCCAAAGGTGAACAAAGGTGAAAATGTAACACGTATGCACATACACATACACTCATACACATGCATACGTACACCACACACACACACACACACACACACACACACACACACACACACACACAAAATCACACAATCACATCTCCACCAGAATAACTTATAAGCACTTCAAATTCAAATATTCAATTCAAATGCTGGACTATTTTTGCTACAGGACAGCATAAGAGAACAGAATACACACAATCAGTTTCTGCTTTAACAGCCATGTTTTTGGTGGTGCCATTTGCTATAAAGGAAAACAAAGAGGAATACACTTTTTATGAAGGGAGGTTCTAAATCAGTTTTGAAGGAATTAATTTTGAAGGATTTATAATCTATGTGTGCATGTGAATTCACAAGATTATTATATATATTGTTCAGAGTTCAGAATTACTGAAACCCCTATATGCATACTAGGTCTATTAATATGTTGTATAATCTTTACAGCTCTTTCTTCTCATCTGTAAACTAAATTAACTAGCATTACTTTTTCAAAATTATTTTAATTAAATATACTACTACTAAATATATTACTACTAAAAAACCACAATAAGTCACAAAAAGTGATTTTTCTTCAAGCATGCAATTAAGAAAATTAGGACCAAAAGAAAAACAACTCTATTTAATCCAACAAGGGCAGGGTGAAAAGGAATTAAAGAGAGATGCTTGTCTATTTCATTCATTTTCTAAACAAGTAAAGGAAACAGGAGGAACAATGGTCTGAAGAAATGTAAGCAAAAGAAATGAATAATTCTAGCAGAAATATTAGAATTGGTAAGTACTTGAGAAGGAAAAGTACAGTACACCGCCCTTCATTCAGAAGCTGTGGAACACACAGGTGGTAGGAAACACCAGTCCTTCAAGTATCTATCAGTAAGAAATGCAAACCTCAGTTGTGGCGGTGCTCGTTAGCACGAAAGATCATCAGCTTCGTCCACCAAAGAGTATGACAACTCAAGCAAAAGAAGCCTCCGTTTTTCCAGAGGGCTGGTAGGTCTCTCCCCTCTCCTCTTCAACTGCTCTTTGAACATGGATAGAATGATCACTTGCATTTCAAATGCGCAGGAGATAAAAGTGTCACCACATCGGTGTAACCTAACTTTAGTTCTCAGTGCCCACTCATTGTGTCTTCCTCAAAGAGAAGAGAAGAAGGAATTTGTCCTGGATCTGCTTGGTCTTCACTCCATAAACAACTGGATTTAGAGCCGGAGGGATAGCCACATAGAAGTTGGCAAATAAGATGAGAACATTACGAGGGACACTGTGCCCAAAACGATGAGCAAGAATGGAGAAGAAGGCAGGTGTGTAGAACATGAGGATGACACAGACATGGGAACCACATGTGCTCAGGGCCTTTTGGCGGGCACCCTGGGAAGAGAGCAGAAAAACTGCCCTGAGGATAAAGATGTAGGATACAGCAATCAGGATGACATCTGAGATGACAGTCATGAGAGGAACAGAAAACCCATACCAGATGTTGACAGAGATGTCTGCAGAGGAAAGCCTGGCAACGCCTATATGCTCACAATATGTGTGAGGGATAACACGTGTTTTGCAAAATGGCAGCCGCTTCAGCAGGAATACATCTGGCAGGATGACTGAGAAGCTCCTCACAATAATGCTCACCATAATCTTGACCATCACCTGCGGAGTCAGGATGGTGTTGTACCTCAAGGGCAAGCAAATAGCCACGTAGCGATCAAACGCCATGGCTAACAGGATAGCCGAGTCCACTACAAAGCTGAAGTGCAGAAAAAACATCTGAGTGAGACAACCAGAGAAGGTAATTTCTTGGGAGCCAAACCAGAGGTTGCTGAGCAGTTTGGGTACTGTGGCAGTGGACAAGATGAGGTCTGTGCTGGCCAGCATGGACAGGAACATAAACATGGGCTCATGGAGGCTCTGCTCCACTGCAATCAGATAGAGGAGGATGCAGTTGCCTACAATAGCCACAACATAGATGATGCAAAAGGGAATCCCGATCCAGATGTGGAACTTTTCCAAGCCGGGTATCCCAACAAGGATGAAAGAAGTCGGGTTGTAACAGCTTAGGTTGTACATGGCCTCTGCGGGATCTGCTGGTTCTTGAGCCTGAGGACAGAGATTCTTTCAGAATCATTTATAAAAGGTAACAGTTCCACTCGAGCGCAGATTGTTGGTAACAGGCCAGCACTCCTGCATGGAAGCACTTCCTATTCCCAAGATGAAGAAATACCTGTAGATTGATTATTTATTGCCTGATCTATTTGGCAATGGCTTCACTTCATTTTGATGTGCATTTATATCAATTAGTAAACAATATAAAAAAGTCATTCATGGCGTTGGGGATTTAGTTCAGTGGCACAGCGCTTGCCTAGCAAGCGCAAGGCCCTGGCTGGGTTCGATCCTCAGCTCAAAAAAAAAAAAAAAAAAAAAAAAAAGAAAAAGTTATTTATGTAAGTCAGAAAATGTGAATAAGACTCTTTAAAATAAGCTAATTTTTGAAAGTGGGGAAATGCCAAGTGTGAGGGGGGGAAAGGAGAGGAGTGAGAAAAAAGAGGGAAAAGATAAAAAATATAAGTATTTAAAATGCTGTACTGGGGGCTAGAGAAATGGCTCAGAGGTTAAGATAGAGCACTGCTCTTCCAGAGGACCTAAATTCTGTTCTCAGTACTCTTTTTTTTTTTAAGATTTACCTTTTTTTTTTTTTTTTTTTTTGCCGCTAGCATTCTTGCTAGTTTTTGTTTGTTTGTTTTTTAATTTTTTTCCTTTTATTTTATTTTACAATGCCATTCAGTTCTACATATCAGCCACAGATTCCCTTGTTCTCTCCCTTCCCGCCACCCCTCCCCCATTCCCTCCCCGATTCCCACCTCCTCCAGGTCAAAACCAGACCAAGACCAACCTGGTAGACTCAGTCCAGTTCCCTCCTCCCAGACTGAGCCAAGCGTCCCTGCATAAGCCCCAGGTTTCAAACAGCACAGGACCCCATACCACTGCCTAGACGCCTCCCAAACAAACCAAGCCAATCAACTGTCTGACCCTGCCTGATCCAGTTGGGGGCCCCTCAGCCCTTGGTTCATATGTATACAGTGTTCTGCTTCTGCTTGCATATATCCCTTCAGGCCAGAAGAGGGCGCCAGATCTCATTACAGATAGCTGTGAGCCACCATATGATTGCTGGGAATTGAACTAGCCAGTGCTCTTAACCTCGGAGCCATCTCTCCAGTGCCATCTCGCCAGGCCTGCTCTCAGTACTCTTGTAGGGCAGATCACAATTGCTTGTAACTCCAGTTCCAGGGATCTGACTTCTTCCTCTGGCCTCCACAGGCACCTGCACTCATGTCTACATATTCACTTTCACATATACACACATATACACAGAATTTAAAATAAATCTTAAGTTTATTTTTTTTAATGCTGTACTGGATGAAGTTGAGATGTAAGAAAAAACAACTGACTTTTATAGGGCAAATCTTGTGTTTCAGACAATACATTTGATAAAATAAACTGATGGGGTTGAGTGATCAAGGAGGAAAGCTAATAAAGAAGAATGGACGAATGAGCAGGTTCTCATGCTGGGTGGTGTGGGAGCTTCTGCTTCAGTAGTTGAAATGCAGTTTGATCCAGTGTATAGGCTTTTGAGGATGCAAATACAAGAGCATGCATCTTTCAGAAGACACATGGGAAGAGGGGAGCAATATTAATTATAAGAGAAAGCCATGAACCCAAAGTATATTTTTGAAAAGTCCTAAAGTTTAGGCCCTCAGTGCCTATGTCCTAAACCTTATGTGATCTCACCTCTCCATTGTTAGCAGAGGAGATGCTTCCACCACCAGAATGGAGGAGCCTCCATAACCACAAATCCCAACAGAGGAATTTATCTAGGCAAAGTGCCTGCTGAGTCTTACCTCCTAGAGCAAAAGGAAAGAATCATAGAAAAGTTTTGCCTCAAAGTTTTCCTTCCTTGTCTGCTGGTGTCTAGACCCTAACTGTGAGAATCTCTAGCTTTACTCTAAATAGAGCCCCCATTTAAGGATGGCACGTACATGGGAAAATGCCCTTTGAATTCTAGCTCAGTTTCTGTGACCTATTTTAGACAGGTTTTTGTTGTTGTTGTTGTTGTTCAGGTGGAAGGGAATGATAATTGAACCATCAATACCAGGAAGCCCCCCATTGTTGAGGGCCCACAGATTCTGAGTCATACAAAGGTAAATGTCAGAGAGAGTCAGTGCTTATCCAAAACCTAAGCAATTAACCTTAATAAAATTACAAAGCCATTCAAAGTGTAGGGAAGTGACTTAACAGGCAATTCATAACAGTTCTGCTAGGACTATTATGGGGGGGGGGGGTCTGTAGTCTTCTGCCCAGGAAAAGAAAACCTAGGGTCTCGTAGGCTTTGTGACATGTCTTCTAGGTCCCCAGTCAGTGCTTTACACTAGTGAGCTACTCTTTCTTAATTGCCATTAGCACTTGCCTTAACCAGCCAAGCCAATACATTGCATCCACCTGAAAGAAATGCAGATGGCCATTTTCTAAGTTCCATTCCATGGCCTGGTGCAGAATAAACTGCCAAGAGCACAGAACAATTTTGAACAGTGTACAACAGCAGACACTCCATGATGTTCTCCCTAAAATGATGGCCATGTGATCTCCTTTGGCTGAGTAAACTCTGGAAGCCCCACCATGTCAAAACATCTCAGTAGTTTAGGAAGTTCAAGTTCAGCCTATTAGAGCACAGATTTGCTGTTACTTCCACCCCAGTCTCACGGAAGAGTCACGGGGAATACACCAAAGTGGGAGAGAAATAATCACTCATCATTGAAACTGTGAAGGGTCAAAGCATCAGTACCAAGGAATCTTAGTTTAGTCAGAACATATTCTAAACTCATTTCTTTTGCCAAAAAACCTCTACTGAAATCCTGGAAGTTTTTCTGAGGACATTAGCTGTTCTAACTTGAAATCAATAGCTTCCTATTAAGTGCCCACTGACTTATCATAGAATCATTGGTGTTGGGCCTGAGAGATGGCTCAGCAGGTAACGACACTGGCTGCCAAGACTTTTGATCTGTGTTAGATCCCTAGAAGCCACACAATGGAAGAAGAGAACTGGCTCTCACAAGTTGTCCTTTGACCTCCAAATGTGCACCAAGGCACAAATGCATGTATGTGCATGTGTGAATATGTGTGCACACAAGCACATGCACACACACACACACACACACACACAAACACAAATAAATGTGACTTTAAATTTTTTTTTAGAAAGGATCACTGGTGTCAGGAAGATCCTTTTCTCCCACAGACAGGTCTTCAGAGCACAGTCCTTAGACACTGAGAAGTGAACTAGGAGCCTGTGATTTGATAAGATCACAGATACAGGGCCAGGATTCTTCCTCACTTACCCACTGCAGTGGTCAACTCATCAGAGTGGAGTCTCTTGGTTTGCAGGTGTAATGGAAAGAATTTGGAAGAAGTGAGTGCACTTTCAGAAGGGGAAGATGCTAGCGAGAGGTAAATGAAAGCATTTATGAATGACTCTTCAATTCCCAGGAGATCATTAGGGTGGAGTGACCTCTCCATTCACATTTTGACACAAGGGATAGGACTAATAGTGTGTTGTTTCCCTTGAGGAGGAATGTATCTCACATGTTTTAATAGCCTTTAGACATCGTGTCCCTGGGAGATTCATCCAGAGACAAATTATACAGTCAGTTGAGGCAGAAATCTTGGATGTCTAAGAGTGTTCCTGTACCTTTAGTTCCCTTTAGTCAGTTTATACAAACTTCTACCAATCCTATGTAAACAACATTAACATGTTCTAGATATTGAAGAATAAACTCTACACTTTGGTCATCAAATTTTTCTTTGCCTTTTCCATCAGTTTTCACTGACAGTTTCTCAATTTTCAAATACACACAAATACAATTCACATATTGATTGCATAATATGGAAATATTCAATAATTTTATGGTTTAGAATATTTATATTATAAATATTAAAAATGTATTCCTTCAGCCGGGCGTGGTGGCACACGCCTTTAATCCCAGCACTCGGGAGGCAGAGCCAGGTGGATCTTTGTGAGTTCGAGGCCAGCCTGGGCTACCAAGTGAGCTCCAGGAAAGGCGCAAAGCTACACAGAGAAACCCTGTCTCGAAAAAACCAAAAAAAAAAAAAAAAAAAAAAAAAAAATGTATTCCTTCATCAGTGGGGTCTGTTAATTTTCTCAATAATAGATTATAATCTCCATACTTACTTAAAAATTAAAACACCCTTTATTATATGAAGGTTATGTAAATATTCTATAGTCTTTTTTTTTAAGATATCACAGGGCTGGAGAGGTGACTCAGTGGTTAACAGCATTGGATGCTCTTTCAGAGAACCTCAGTTCAATTCCCAGCACTCACATGGGGACTCCGCCTACATTCCACTTCAAGGGGTTCTGATGTCTTCTTCTGGCCACTGCCAACACTGCACATATGTGCTGCACATATCTGCATGCTAAATATGTCATATAAAATAACAATAATTAAATAAATAAACCACAGAACACTCTATGGTATAAAACTACAGAAATGCATTATATCCTTTGCTATTCAATAGTACAGACTTGCAGTACAAAGTGTAAAATATGGTAAAAGCTGGGTTTCTTGGGGGAAGATGGGACTGTAAAACAGAATTCTCTTGTTTCTTCAAAATGCTCCCTTCTTATCTTCAAAGTCAGAAACATTACTTCTATCCATTCTTAACAGTTAATTTTTTAAAATTTTGTTTATAACTTCGTATGTATATCACTCCTGTCCCCCCCCTGCCGCCATCAACTCTTCCCATGTCCCCTCTCACTTCTAAGATCATGATCTCTTCACTATTGTTATGTGTCCCTGCCCGTGTTGGCTTATCACCTGGTGTTGTCATTACACCAATCTTGTTCAGAAAACAAGATTGTTGAAATTTTATGGGTGTGTTTTCTCTGTCATGTCTAGGGAACAATATATAGTGAAGGTGTGCTGGAACTGTGGCTCTGGGAAGTTGCTTCTGAATTTATAGCATAGTCAAATTGTCCTTTGACTCCCTTCTTCTGCCTTCTGGTCCACCTTTAAGAAACCTTGTGATTGCATT